TAAAGTGATTGTCTTAATTCAACTCAAAGACAGTGCTTAATCTGAGCCAGATCGAACGCTCTTATTTTGACAGTGTGCGTTCCAGCAAGTGTGGCTTACTAATAATACAGTTATGAACAAATATGACTGCACTGAATGAATAAAACTTATATTGCGACCCGACCCCAGATAAGTGGAAGAAAATGAATGGATGGATGGATCTTCTTCTTTGTAAACTGAAAATAATTACATAAACACTCATTTTAAACACAGCAGCCACAAGCTTCTTGATATTACATACGATCATCTGTTCAAGTGAATCACTTCTGCTGCTTCTAGCCTTAAAAAAAATCCGCCCCTAAAAGTCCAAAGTCATTGCGCATTTTTATTAAAAAAAAACAAAATATAATCAAACAGTACAACAATATTGCAATCAGTTTTATAGTTTAAGTGGGTCATTCATTAATAACATTTTGATTATTTATTCAAAATATGCGAAAAATATTTGATGGGTAATCATGTACACGATGAAAAACAAAAGCACCATTTTGTCAAATTAACAGCGATCAAAATGTTGAAAAGACAATCCAATTTACTTTTCATTTTTTACACAAAAGGCTTCTCATTGTCCAAATAAACAACTGAGAATTGAAGCACATGAAGACAGTGGACGTAAATGTTTAACATCTCATTAAAATATACCAAAATGCAGGAAATGGCATCTACTTCATTCAAAATTTTCTCAGGGACGACCCCCTCAGATCCCCCATTCCCTGCTATTTGCGTTCTGGCATCGATCGGTTTACAAATTAAGCCCTGATCAAGAGATTATTGAAATGTACAAAGGATGTCAAAAGTCTTAAAGATCCCATGAGTTCTGTTAAATTCACCATCAAGAAATGGAAGAAATATATCAGCCAAGAGCAGGCCGCCCTCACAAACTGAGTGACCATGCAAGAAGGAGAATCGTGACACTTGTGACCACTCTGAAGACCCAACATAAGATGGGAGACAACATGTGCATACAACAACTGTTGCCCAAGTTCTTCACCAGTATAAGCTCAAGGAGAAGGTGGCAAAGAGAATGCCACAATTGAAGATAATCATAAAATCTGACTAAAGCTTGTCTAGATTGTTAATCTAGTGTTAGTCTTGTGTTTAAAACGCAACCATTGAACAAAACTTGAAACTGGAATGACGTCTTTGGACAGAACAACACCCTAACCCTAACCCACACATACTAGCACAAACAGC